CGTTCTAATAACTTAAGAGACAAAGGCCCTTTCACTGCCAAACTAATCAGCCAATCAGACTTCCTTGCTATCCCCTTATTATTAAATTCAAAAACATGGGTTGATACTTTTTCAGACACTAGAAATCAATTATGGAACAGACTCATAAAATCAATTATTAAAACCAGTAAAGTCAGAATGAAAATGAGATTGAGGTAATTGAGTCATGTTATCCGTTTTATAATAAATTACAATGACCCGACACTAATGGTTTTCCTCATTGATATTTAATCAAGCAATGTTACAGGTAGCTAGGATCATAAGTTATTTATGCAACTCTAAGTACAAGGGAAGGCACGGGATTTCTTTGCTAACTGTGTGGGCATGTGTCTACGAAGCTCTGTTGTTTGGCTTTTAGGAATAACAAAAAAAAGCAGGATGCTTTTAAAATCATGGGGAAGGATTTCCCTACATTTTGTTAGGTCACATGATCAAACTTTTCCTTTCCGACTCTTCTGGCAGCCTCCAATCTTCTCTTAGTATTGGAAGCACAACAGCTTGCAATGCATCCATCCAGGACACTTTTTTTTTTTTTTAATCCTATCACTACCTTTCACAAATGTTACTGGTTCTCTACCAGCCCCAGGATAGACGCTAACTCCGGGTGTTCAGGGTCTGGCCCACAGTGGTTCCTGACACCTCTGTCCTTCCCCACTGTCCCCGTCCCAGTCTCCAGGGCATCTTCCCAGGCTCACCAGCCACTCCTCATCGCCTCCGTTCTGGGACCGGGACTGGAGTTCCACGTGGTCAGCTCGTGAACATCAGTCAAAGGAAAACAGTAACGCTGAGACGCCTCCCCTTTCTGCACCCCCCATCCCCCACCCCGGGCCCCAGCACATGGCCTTGCACGGACGGATGCTCCCCAAGCCCGGATGCTCCCCAAGCCCAGATGCCAGCTGACCATCCAGAGAGGCCTGTGCTCCCAGGGATGCGCCCAGTCTCCCTCTCGCCCCTCCAGCCCCCGCGCCCGGCAGGTGGAAACCCAGAGTGCCCCTCAGGTCGTGCCCAGGCCGCACGCCGCCGCCTGCGGAGCCCGCAGAGCAGCAGGGATGCCAGAGCCGCCCAAGCTCTCAAACAAACGAGAAGAGAACAAAAATAAATACAAAGAGAGGGCAACGCGACGGAGCTACAAGTGGAAAATGCAGTCGCTAGGACTGATTTGCACAGAGCTTCCAGCCACAGCAGCTCACAACAGCATCTTTAACTTGCCATTTACTAAAAATACTGCTCGTTGAACCCCCTCGGCTGCTCTGAAACCGACGGCACAGGGGCAGGCTACTGGGATTTTCGGTTCTAGTTGGTGTTTTGAACGCCCTCTGCCCTAACACTTCACCAGCCCGGGCTGAGCAGAGGCGCGCGGTCAGCGCCAGCCCTTCCCCGGTCACGGCCAAGGCCCCGGGGCGGGGGGCGGGGGGCGCGGCTGGGGCGGCTCTCAGCCCAGGACATCTTTTCCCACCAATGACACTCTCCACTGGACGGAAAAAAACAACCAGAATTATCTTTCAGATTTAGCTACTTCAATCACAGAAGTGTGAATCGGGGGAGGTTTAGATCCCATGAAGACTGTTTCTCTTTATAAATCCCAAACATTTAAAAATATCTCTGCTTGTGCTGGAATGTCATTTTCTGGCATTCTGGCCTCTTCAACATGAATTTTTTGTGACTGTGAAGCCATTTCCCAGCTCTCGGAATTTGCTGGAGAGAGAGACTCCCGAACAGAACGTCCTGGGAGGTGCGCGTGGGCAGGAAGAAAGGCCGGTTGCAAGCAGCCTCGCGGCGCCTCTTCTCCAGGGAGCGCTGCCGGCTCCCGCACACCTGAGCACACGCTCCGGGCCTCTGCGCCAGTACGTGCACTGCACAAGTAGATGCAGTAACCCTCAAGTGTTAAGGTTAAGGTTAAAAAACAAAAGGTGAGCACACACATAGTTTCCAAGGCATGTGAGGAAGGGGAGGAGGAGCTGCAAATGTCAACGTCCACGTTTCCTCTTTCCTTTCTGTGGCGAGGAGGGCCTGCACACCTCCGCACACCTCCCTCTGCCTCAGCAAAGCAAGGTGCTGGGAGCAGTACACTCCCAGCATCACTCCAGAGGCCTCGTGGCTGCTCGGGTTTGCAGTTTGGGGTTCAGCAGGACGTCTCAAGCAGCCCCTCTGAAGTCCAACAGCAGAAGCCAGGCTGAGTAACGAGGAGCCAGGGCCTGCAGAAGCTCCCCTGCCCAGGGTCCCTGCGTGACTGCAGCCCAGCACCTGTGTCCCTCAACCACTCAGGACCCCAGACCGGACAGTGCTGACCCTCCTCAGCACCTCCTCCACCCATCTCCATCCAGCCCAGGCTCTTCCTTGCTACCCCCTGCATCACCGCCTGCAGATCCGTCCGCCCAGGGCCACCTGCCTCCTGCATACACACGGTCACCTCAGGCCACCCTCTCACTCTGCACCCCATCCCCATCTCTGCTCAGCCAAACAAGAATTCAATTCTTGACCTACTGGGTGCCTTCGAGTCCCCAGCAGAGCTGTCTAAAGAAACACACGATCACACTGACGTGACCACTTGTGCTAAAGGGCTCTTCACGCCTTCCCCTGTCTCCCCAAATGTGCAACCTCTCCTCCACCGCAGCACTCTCAGCTGGCCACCCTGTCTCCTATTTCGCAAAGAAAATATAAGCAATCAGAAGAAGCCTGGTGAGTGAGCGGCACGCCTGGGCACCCACGAATCTCGCCGGCCTATCCCCCACCCCACACACTTACCTGCCCGCCTCCTCAAGCAGGTATGCGTGTACACAGATGCACCTCTCACCGGCTGGAGAAATGATTGCCACAACCCCCCGCCCTGCATTATCAATTTTTCACTCTCTACTGACTCACCGCCACCAGCATGCAAGTGTGATGCTAATGCTTCCCACTGAAAATTAAGTCTCTTGGCCTTCGTTACCCAGCAGACACCACCCCATATTCTGCTCCCTTGGCAGCAAAGCTTCTCAAAACAGTTGTCAACAATCTGTTTCTCCAACCCCTCCCTTCCATCCGTCCCTCTGAACCCACTCCAACGGCGCTTTTCTGTTGCCACGGTCACCAGACCCCCGTGTCTTTTTACTCTTCTCACCAGAGCCACCAAGGACCCGCACGGCGCTGACCCAAGAGGACTCTCAGCGCTCATCCCACCTGGACCATCAGCTTGTAAGCCCCTGGCTCCTAGATGACTTCATGAGGCTTCCCAGATGCCACCCGCTCGGTCTCCCTGTACATCTCTGGCTGTTCCTGCCTGGTCTCCTTTGCTGTCTCCTCCTCTTCTTAGGGCTACAAATGTCCCAGGGCCCTGGCCTCAAAACCCTCCTTTCCCTGGGATCTTATCTGATCTTCTTCCTCTAAAGGCCGTCCACAGGCCCAAGTCTCCCATTAAACTCCAGCTCAGATCACAGGCCTCAGCAGGAGGATCTATATACCACCGTCACTCCGCATCTCTTAGACTCCCTCAAAGTGCTCAAAACTCAATCCTAATCCCTCTCTGTACCCCAACTCTACCTGCGGACGTGCCCGTCTCACGGGTGACAACTCTGTCTACTTACACCAGCTAAAATCCTTGATGTACCTACAGACTTGTCCCTTCCTATCACCACCCCAGACCCATAGGACGTCTCAAGGACTCTGTCGTCAAACTGTATCCCGATGTGACCACTTTTCACTATTTCCACGGCCACCAGTGGAGCAAGCCACCATTATGTCTTCTCTGAATTACTATAATGGATTTCTCTATGGGCCTCTAAATGGCTTCCTCGCCTATCCTCATCCCCCACCCCCTACATCCTGTATCAACACAGAGGCCAGAACGAGCCTGTTAAAATGGAATGCAGATCCTGCCCCTTCTCTGCTTAGCACCCGGCACTGACTTCCCATCATCCAACCTAGAATTCCCCAACAGCCTGCAGATAGACATGCTCAGATCCCTGCTCCCTCCTGACCACCTGGTTCCCCTCCAGCCGCCCTGCCTCCCTGGTGTTTCTCCAACACGCCCGTGGACCTCTGCACCTTCCTTTCCTTTTAACTACGATGCTCTCGTCCCAGACGCTAAGTGGTTAGTTAGCACAACTCCTTAAATCCGTGTTCAAACGTCAACTTCTTACTGACGCCTTCGTGACCACTCCCTTTAAAACTGTCACCTGCCCCGCCCTCCTAAACTTGGTCTACTTTTCCTTTCCTCCACAATATTCATGCCTTGTCACGAAACATGTAATTTCCTTCTTCATGCTGTCAGCTGCCTGTGGCCTGTCTCTGTGCCCGTCCCCACCCCCATCCTCCACTCACACCGACATGGAAGCAGGGGTTTGTGTCTGCTGTGTTCGCTGTGTGTCCTGAGTTCGAGCAGCACCCAGCGGGACACCTGGGTGGCTCGGTCGGTGGCTCATCTGCCCTACACTCAGGTCGTGATCTCGGGGTCCTGGGATCGAGCTCCACATCAGGCTCCCTGCTTCTCCCTCTGCCTCTGCCCCTCCTCCATGTGCTCTCTCTCCCTCTCTCTCTCGCTCGCTCTCTCCTCTAGGTCTCAAATAAATGAATAAAATCTTTAAAAAAAAAATAAAATGGCATCTGGCACAACGCAGAAGCACAGCCCTTAGGTTCTCGACGAATTAATGAATCAGTGAGACCCTGCATACATCTTCTAGACCTGTTTCCTGATGTACAACATGACACTAGCAATATCAACCCCACAGCTTGCTATAAGCAGTAAATGAGGACCTGTGTGGAAATCTTCATAAAATATTAATTACTATAACAGCTTAACATAATATGTCGAGAATCATCCTTAAAATTAATTCAGAAGTGTACTCGGTAACTGCTTAACATGGTGTAGCTCAAGAGGTAGAGAAAAATCCACCCAGGCAGCGGGATAGTCTTCCCACTGGCTGAGATTCTACTAAGTCATAAATTAAAGTTTTCAAGCCTTCATTTTCCAAATTCAAAATTACCTCCGAGAAGTCCTGAGGGGAGGAGAGGAACTGTCTTCTGGTCAAATCCTGGTGTCCTGATGGGCTTTTGTGCATTCAGCTGGTTCCTCTCTTCATGACAGGCCGTCCATAAGGAGCCGTGGGACAGGGTCCTGGGCACTGGGGTCCCTCTAGAACTGGGGATCGGGAGCGTAGCAGACCCCGTAGGGTGCTCGGCACCTGGGAAACGTGAGGAGAGCACAGCTCAGACAGCAGGTTGCAGGAGGAGGAAGCGAGGACCACCGTGCTGACCTCCAATCACCCCAGAACTGAACTTTCAAATCTCTGGGCCAGGAGGGAAGGCTCTTGATGTGATTACTAAAAATTGTATCAGATCAAATATTTGGGAAGTATCTGAGTTCACTGGAGAGGTTTGTGGGATAAACCAAATTCCACCAAACAGTTAACAGATAAACCAACCCACACAGATCATTCTCAGAAGGTGTTCCCTTCTGTCCTCCCCCAGTCACAGTCATCAGATTTCTCCCAATTGGATTCCTCTAGGGACAGATTCGGGTCCACTGACAAGCTTAAAAATAAGTCAAGACTATGTTAATTGTAATCCCTAAGGTAACCCCGCTAAGAAAATCATTCAAATATATATTAAAAAATTGGGATCCCTGGGTGGCGCAGTGGTTTGGCGCCTGCCTTTGGCCCAGGGCGCGATCCTGGAGACCCGGGATCGAATCCCATGTCAGGCTCCCGGTGCATGGAGCCTGCTTCTCCCTCTGCCTATGTCTCTGCCTCTCTCTCTCTCTATCATAAATAAATAAAAATTAAAAAAAAATTAAAAAAAAGAAATATTCAAATATATATTAAAAAATAAACAACTGAATTACCATGGTTCACTGGAAACTACTTAGCATAAAAGTAGGTACAACAGAGGAATAAAGGAACAGAAAAGACATAGGACTCATGGGAAACAAGCAGCAAAACAGTAGGCATCATTTCTACCTTATCGGTAATTATATAAAATTGTCTAAACACTCCAATCAAAGGGCAGAAATGGGTAGAATGGATTTTTTAAAATATGCTGTTAGAAGAGACCTGTTTTAGAACAGTATCAAAAAGAATATGATATTTACAAATAAATTTAACAAAAGATGTGCAAGACCTGTACAGCAGAAACTACCAAAACATCAGTATAAGAATCCAAAGACCTAAATAAACAGACATTCTGCGCACACGGGTTGGAAGATATGCTGTTAGGATAGCGACTTGATCCTCGGGTTCAATGTAATGTCCTTTCAAGTCCCAGTTTCTTCTTTTTCTTGTTGTTTGGAAATTCACAAGCTGATTCTGAAATTCAGGTAGAAACCTAAGAGATGGGCAACCCCGGTGGTACAGCGGTTTAGCACTGCCTGCAGCCCAGGGCATGATCCTGGAGACCCTGGATCGAGTCCCACGTCAGGCTCTCTGCATGGAGCCTGCTTCTCCCTCTGCCTGTGTCTCTGCCTCTCTCTCTCTCTCTCTCTCTCTCTCTCTCTCTCTCTCTGCATCTCTATAAATAAAAAAATTAAAAAAAAAGAAAGAAAGAAACCTAAGAGACTTCGAAAGGCCACAAGAACAATGAAAAAGAAATGCAAAGTTGGAGGAGTCATGCTCCCTGATGTCAAAAAGAAGAAAAGAAGAAGAAGAAGGAGGAGGAGGAGAAGAAATAGTAATCAAGATGGTGTGGCACTGGGATCCCTGGGTGGCGCAGCGGTTTGGCGCCTGCCTTTAGCCCAGGGCGCGATCCTGGAGACCTAGGATCGAATCCCACGTCGGGCTCCCGGTGCATGGAGCCTGCTTATCCCTCTGCCTATGTCTCTGCCTCTCTCTCTCTCTCTCTCTGACTATCATAAATAAAAAAAATAAAAAAAAAGATGGTGTGGCACTATGAGATCCCACCTCACACCAGTAAGAATGGGGAAAATTAACAAGGCAGGAAACCACAAATGTTGGAGAGGATGCGGAGAAATGGGAACCCTCTTGTACTGTTGGTGGGAATGTGACCTGGTGCAGCCACTCTGGAAAACTGTGTGGAGGTTCCTCAAAGAGTTAAAAATAGACCTGCCCTACGACCCAGCAATTGCACTGTTGGGGATTTACCCCAAAGATACAGATGCGGTGAAACTCCGGGACACCTGCACCCCGATGTTTCTAGCAACAATGTCCACAATAGCCCAACTATGGAAAGAGCCTCGGTGTCCATCAAAAGATGATGGATAAAGAAGCTGTGGTCTCGGGGATCCCTGGGTGGCGCAGCAGTTTGGCGCCTGCCTTTGGCCCAGGGCGTGATCCTGGAGACCCAGGATCGAATCCCACGTCGGGCTCCCGGTGCATAGAGCCTGCTTCTCCCTCTGCCTATGTCTCTGCCTCTCTCTCTGTGTGTGACTATCATAAATAAATAAAAATTAAAAAAAAAGAAGCTGTGGTCTCTGTATACAATGGAATATTCCTCAGCCATAAGAAACGACAAATATCCACCATTTGCTTCGACGTGGATGGACCTGGAGGGTATTATGCTGAGTGAAGTAAGTCAATCAGAGAAGGACAAACATTATATGGTCTCATTCATTTGGGAAATATAAAAAACAGTGAAAGGGAATAAAGGGGAAAGGAGAGAAAATGAGTGGGAAATATCAGAAAGGGAGACAGAACATGAGAGACTCCTAACTCTGGGAAACGAACTAGGGGTGGTGGAAGGGGAGGAGGGCGGGGGGTGGGGGTGACTGGGTGATGGGTACTGAGGGGGCACTTGATGGGATGAGCACTGGGTGTTATGCTATATGTTGGCAAATTCATCTCCAATAAAAATAAATAAATAAATAAATAAATTCTTTAAAAAAAAAAAAGATGGTGTGGCACTGGCCTAAGGACAGACCTACAGATCACTGGGTTAGAATGGACCAGTCCAGAAATAAACCCAGACATTAATGGGTAATTGACTGTCGACAAGAATGTCGTGACGTTTTAAAGGGTAAGTGACAGTGTTTTCAGCAAATACATACACACCAAGAATAGTCACAAGACAGACCTTATACCTTTCTTTTTTTTTTTAAGATTTTATTTATTCATGAGAGACACACAGAGAGAGAGAGAGGCAGAGACAGAAGCAGGCTCCCCGCAAGGAACCCGATGTGGGACTCGATCCAGGATCCTGGGATCAGGGCCCGAGCCAAAGGCAGATACTCAACCCGCTGAGCCATCCATGCGTCCCGACCTTATACCTTTCACAATAGGTCAGATCACAGGGTAAGAGCTAAAATTATGCAACACTTAAGAGAAAAATATAGGAGTAAATCTTTGTGACCTTAGATTAGGTACCAGTTTCTTAGATATGTCACTAAAAGCACAAACAATAAAAAAAATAGTAAAATTTAAAATTTTGTATGTCTGGGGATCCCTGGGTGGCTTGGCTGTTTAGCACCTGCTTTCAGCTCAGGGCGTGATCCTCGGGTCCCGGGAACGAGTCCCACATCAGCCTCCCTGCATGGAACCTATTTCTCCCTCTGCCTGTGTCTCTGCCTCTCTCTCTCTGTGTCTCTCATGAATAAATAAATAACATCCTTTAAAAAATAATAGTAAGATAAAATAAAATTTTGTGTGGCCAAAAACACCACCAGCAAAGTAAAAAACAACCCACAAAAGAGAAAAATACATACAAGACCTACACCCAACAGGGACCTCGTATCTATCTAGATGATATAAAGAACCCACACAGCTCAATAGTAAAAAGACAAATAACCCAAGTCAAAAGTGGGCAAAAGTCTGAATAGACATTTCTTCAAAAAAGATATTCAAATGTCCACTAAGCACATATGAGCATCTGACATTCAATTAACACAAATTCTGTATGTTAGGTGCATTACATACTGTAATCTTATAACGTACCATAGAGAAAAGGAAATGCTGTTAAAATCCTGAGGAAGAGAAAATACACTCACAGAACTGTATATATTTATTGAGAAGAAAATCTGCGTATAAGTGGACTGTGCAGTTCAAACCTATGTTGTCTGAGGGTCAACTATACTCTAAAATAGTGAATTGTACCTCGATGAAACTATTATTAAAAAAGAAACATCAGGGGCACCTGGGTGGCTCAATTGGTGGAATGTGTGGTTCTTGGTCTTGGGATCATGAGTTCAAGCCCCACGTTGGGTGTAAAGATTGCTTAAACAAACTTAAAAAAGAGAAAGAGAGAGAGAGAGAGAGAAGCATCACTGGAAAAAGTTTTCTAAAAAGTAAGGCAAGATAGCCCCTGAATTTCCCAAACTCTTCTCAAGCACAGCGTCTGCTCGGAACGTAACACCAACATTTGAACTTGACTTATTTTTAGGCGTATGGTCAGGGAGCAAAGAACAAAATCAATTCCGTTTTTCTCGTCCCTTCAAAGAGGGGCATCAGAGAGCAGCAGATGCTTAAATCTGATAGGCATGAGATACGTCCCAGGGGCTAACCCCGCAGCTATTCCTTCCTCGCTTTGCCTAACACGGCAGGCGTTCCCACACGCGCGGCCTGGGCCAGGGAACTCCCCTGCACTGCTCAGGACCGGGCTCCTAAGTGCAAAGCCTTCCACGTTAGGGCTGAGAGTTGCACCTGCCCCCAGATCCGCTGGCTCTTGCACACAGCAAGCCTCTTCACCTGCGGAAAGCGGCACCTCCTCGGTCCTGAACGCATCCAGACACGACCTCCAGAAAACCTGGTCACAATTTTGCAAATCTATTCTCTGCCTTTACGTGGCAATAAATTCACACCCTTCCAACAAAACACAACAGAATACAGTCTCTCCTACAACCTGCGTCTGCCACTTTTCCCAGGTAAGAAGATCCGGTGGATAGAATTATCATCTTCAGCAGGAAGGAAAAGCTCTCTGCTCAGCTGGAGCTCAGGCAACGGGAGATTTTTCTAGCTGCCTTTTAACAAGAGTTATAAAGGGAGGCTGCATGCAGAGCTCTCGACCCAGAGGGGTGTGCCATGAGCCCGTGTGGCTTTCAGGTTGTTGGCAGGTTGCAAAACCCCCTGACCTCACTTCCCCGGAGCCCCACTGGCAGGGAGCTGGCCTGCACCTGCACTGCCCCAGCACAACAACCAGGCAGCAGTGATAGTGTTGCAGCACTGCCCACGGTGGCTTGTCCGTCCACGCGGGGTGCGGGCCGTGGCAGCCTCCAGCCGCCGCTCACTTACCCGGTGGCGAG